TATTCATTATAAGAGATTTGGCTGGTGTTTAAAAACTCATTTTGTTGGTATATCTTAAGTCTCTCACCTGATTGAGAATATGCAGAGAAAGACCTAAGTTGCTGGGGCTTGAGGTAGAAGGGCAGCACCAACTGGTATTTGTTTCATTAAGCTTAGGCAAGCTATCCAATTACTTAATGCAAATAGGAAAAGTTTACACTAAACTCCTACTTCTTTGCTGAAAACTCTAGAGAATTCAAATGAGGAGAGATATGTATTTAAAAGAAGGAAATTTAAATGAAACTTAAATCAGGGGCTTAATGTAGAATAATATTAGACCAGGAGATCTGAAATAATAAGCGAGAAATGCCAATAAATAAAAAGGGGGCTGTATTTGCTCAGATGCTTGTTCTGTTTAGTTTTGTTTTGAGATAATTCTTAAATCATCAGAGACCCAAGTTAATAATGAAAGCCTTATTTTATCCCACACCCTCTTTCCACCCATCAGGGTTGAGTAAAGTCCTGCCTTGCGTTGCCAGTATGGACTTGACTCTGTTGTCCCCAGAGAGAGTTTGGGCATGACATTGCTTCTGACCTCACAGCTCCATGGTTGGGACTGTGATTTCAGATGGCGTCTGTGCTCTCTGGCCTGGGAGGGAGTGAGGAGAAGAGAGGACATTGCAGGTGGTCACTGAATGCGTAGTCTGGTGGGGGTGTGCCTTAAAGAACGGGGGTTGTGAACATCCAGCAACCTTTCTTTGTGAAGTAGTTTGTAGTTTGTGAAACAGCTTAAGTGAGTGGAAGAGGACATTTTTGGTGGGGATGGTTTGAGAAAAGACTCACAGAACTTAAAATATTCCAGAATAATGCTTTCACTTCTAAAGGTATACCATTTATCTGAAATTCTGCTTTCCAAAATAATTTGAAATGAAACAAACATTCTTTGCAGAGGCAATTTTAAGCTTCTGTGATGCTTTGAAGGCTGGTGCAGAACTGCAACTAAAGAAAATTCTTTCTGGGTGTTTCCTGTGCCTAAGTCAGTTTCTCTTTCCTCCTGCTCAACCAGTGTCCTTCAGACATGAGCCTAATAGCAGCTCCACCCATGTAGCATCAGAGCAGCCTTGTTTAAAAAAATGATGTATTTATCATTTATAATAAGTTTCATAAAGTCAGGTACCGCTATTCATACTTTATTGTCAGGATTTGGAGCCCTGTCTGTTACCTAGTGGATTGGCAAATACGACATTTACTTTTTACCTTATGTTCAATTTTTTTGTCACATAGTAGAAATCTCAGAACCCCTGGAATTAAGGTCCACTTAATGAAATTTGTAATTCTGTGACATTTAGAGCGAATACATTTATATCACCTTCAAGAATTTTCATACAGTGGAGAGTAATATGTGTTGTTTGCAAGTGTTACATGGGTTCCCCTGATTATGTAATAGGACCTTTGGACTTTCCGACAGAAAGCCAAGCTTTATTAGATCACATCACCCAAATGCTGTGGAGCATGAGGATGTGTGCAGGGTCCCACTCCATCCTCCTTGAGTGTACAAGGTTGGGTTTCTCAATGTACAACACATTCCTCATGCAGCTCTCATTGTAAAGATAAGCAAAAATAACTGAGAACTTTATTAGGAATGAAGTGGGATTTTCCTTGTACCAGTTTGTGTCTGTCTTGAATCTCCAAGAGTCAAAGGAGTTAGACATTGATGTTTCTGAGTATTGGCACCCTTCTCTCGTAGGCCAGTTAGTTAGGCGTAGGTTATCCACATACGTGCTGAATGCAGTGTGTTGGTGGGACCTTTTAGGGTCCAGCTTGTTTACCAGCTGTTTCTTTTATCCCCAAGGCTTTCATTTTCTGTAGCTTTGGGCTCATTTTTGTCTGTGGTGGGATGTGACAGCCATTCACTTAGTTATGTATACTTTTAACAAATATTTGATCATCTCCTGTGGGTTAGGCAGCTGTAAGTACTGAGGATATAACATTCACGAATATAGACCAAGCTCTTCCCGTTCATGAACTTAGAAAGAATCCTATGAAAAGCAGGACTCCATAGTTAGTAAGCAGGTAAGTTTTGGATTCTAGAAGTTCTTGAAGAAAATTTAAAGAATCAAGCAGGATTTTCTCTTGGCAAAGGAGGGGTGCAGAAGGGGGAGGGGGAGCAAACCCAGAGTCCAAAGCTGCCACATGCCCAGAACAAGCTGAGGTTTTCTTCATATCAGAACACTGTGCTTCCATGTATTCCTGACTTGGAGTTACTGACATTTGTCGCCTGTGCTAAATTCTCTGTTTAATGTACAAGGTAGATGTTGGTTGACACCAACCCATGCTAGGGCAGTTAACCGGTGTTCACTAGGGTGGTGGGTGCAGTGCCTTGGGCCCAGAGTCCACACCTGGAGCTTGTTTGTCATCATATGCAGCAGGCTGATAGGCTTTGCTTTCTTAAATGTTGAAGACTTTCATACTAGTATGTTTACTTCTTTGCTTTCACTTCTCAGTCGTTTATGATCCTCTGAGTTAAACCTCTTATTTCTCCATTTGTAATTAAAATCTGTTTATGAGTAAATTCAACTAGAAAAATACTCATTAAAGTACTTTAGAACTGGCTACACCAAACAGAATGATAAAATGTAGTTCTGTAGATTCATGGTCCATGTTCATGAATCATTATCCCTTTTAATATAAATGCACATGTTTGTGTATGTGTGTACATATGAAATGCCTAGCACACTTTTTGGCATGTAGTAGGTGATCCCTTAGTGATAACAATCTTGTTTTATTTCAGTTTTCACTTACCATGTAAAATAGGCAACTTTTTAAAAATGTGTAGCAATAGTCCCATTAGAGTGCTTTAAATGCATAGTTTTGTAATCTGGTTCGATAACTTTAGCTGTTATCAGTGTCCCCATGTGGACCACTTCATTTTGATGTGACTTCCCTTTGCTATATCTCCAGGATGTATTTGTGTATTGAGCTGTGGTTTTCCAGCTCCTGCATGCATCAGAATCACCTGGGGGTTGCACATTAAAAGACATTTTGCTAGGTGCTCTTCCTGGGTTTCTGCTGCCTAGATGTCAGGTGCTGCTGGGAACTTGCATTCCAGCTGCTCCCCTGATTCACCTGCTGCTCTGTGGACCTCAGTCTGAGCTCCTGGTCTGGCAGGCAGTGTGATCTGAAATCATTACCTGTCTGTGTCCAGTAGAGTTAGTGACTGATGTCCTGCTGTATGATTTTTATGAAATATTGTAGAGACCCTTGTTTTGCCTACACTTCATTGTACTTGTGGTTTAGAAGGTCTCATAGCCGGGTGGTGGTGGCGCATGCCTTTAATCCCAGCACTTGGGAGGCAGAGGCAGGCGGATCTCTGTGAGTTCGAGGCCAGCCTGGTCTAAGAACTAGTTCCAGGCCAGGCACCAAAGCTACAGAGAAACCCTGTCTTGAAAAAAACCTAAAAATAAAATAAAATAGAAGGTCTCATAGATTTCATAGTGGAGTATGTTTACATATATTTCTCTTGTTTCTTCTTTGAGAAACAGCAATATGTTTACCCTCTGAGGGCAGGGCATAAGTTTGGAATGTATTTTACAAGATAATTTTATCTGTTATAATTTACTTCTAAGAATGCCAGGCTATCAGAATTGTGTGAGGGTTTACTATGCTATCAGGATGGTGTGACAGTTTAAAACACTAACAAGAATTTTATGTTCTCTACTTCTTTTCAAGGGTCCTTTGATAGGCTAACAACAAGTAAAATTTAGCACTCATCTTTAACACAGAAAATTCCACTCAGAATGATACTGACATAACAATTTCACCTCCTTTTAAAGCGTAACTTACGTCTTTGGGGATGTGATGGTATAGAAGGGTTATTCTTCCGCAAGAGAAAAGTTAATCAGAAAAAATCTTTGTCCATGAGATTACACTGAAATGTTCTTTCATGCAGTGCTTCTGAGTGCCTGTCTGTGCAAGCATTATAACAAATCAGTGCCAAAGTCATGCATCTTTATCACGTATGAGGGTATTTAGTAGATTGTAACTTAATATGGATCTAATTGTGTGAGGGTATAGATCACCTTAATGCAGTTATAGCATTCATTAATAGAATTAGTAGTATTCAGTTCTAGGCACTGCTGCTGTTGTCTTCTTGTTTCCCTAGACCATGTCTGCAATGTAAGGTGTTAATTGGAGGCAAGGGAGGTGGGAACAGACATTCCATCAGCCAGGACTCTGCCATTGAAGGCTTTGCCATATTTGCATATGGAGATTATTGGAAGATGGAATGTTCTCCACTGTGTGGAGAGATGTCTATATGTTGCTAGTTAACTCCTGCTTTAAAGTAGGATTAAGAAGCCAGGGAATCTCAGCACCTTGTGCACTATAGTATCCTCTGTGCTTAACATGGTGCCTGACTCATGTTCAGTAAGTGAGCATGCGTATCTGTACACGGGGAGCAAAGCTTCAGCTGAGCTTCTCAGGAGCTCTGTCTGCCTTGGTGTTTGAGTCTGTGCCTCTTTCCCTGGGACTTAGGACTTACTTGTGGGCTAGGCTGGCCAGCCAGCAGGTCCGGGATCCCTGACTCTGCTTCCCAAGTACTGGATTACAAGCATGCATTGCCACTCTGGCTTTTTTGTGGGTGCTGGAGAGGATACTTGGGTCCTCATGCTCTTGTTGAGATCAAGTGGAGGCCCCAAAGATGGGACTTTTTGGGGGAGAAGTTTTCACTTTTACTCGAGAACTTTGTTAAACTTGGATACTTTGTCAGCCGAATCAGTGACTTCTTGTCTTGGAATTCTGTTGTTTTAAATATTTGAGTTGAGGCTGTATAGTTTTGATAGATTATGGACCAAGATGATTTTAGTGAAATTATGATTGTATGTTTCTTTATATTTCATTATTTTATTTAATTTAATGTCAATCAACAAAGTATTTTTCTAACTCCATTATGAAATAATTCAAAATAATTACAGTAATTAAAATAATTAAAATCGAATTATTACCTTTTCTTGTCTTTTCAGCCTTAAGCAAGCCAGGGACCTAGAACGAGAGAGGGCTGCAGCCAATGAGCAGCTGACCAGAGCCATCCTTCGGGAAAGGATATCCAGCGAGGAGGAACGCTCGAAGGCAAAACATCTGGTGAGTGTCTTCCAGGTTCCAGAGATGCCTTGCCCTCTGGGTTGGCAAAGCTAAGCATTCGTGCCAGCTGTTAGTGTTGATAGCAGTAATGTTCATTTGACTAGAACTTTCTTGAGTTTCATAGGACATTAAGGGAGGTAACTTTAGAAGTGTTGTAGTCAGGACCAATACAATCACGTGCACAGGTCATATCTGGGGAAATGTTGCTTGTTGGCTTTTTCCTCCCTTGACTTTATTGTCTCTGAAGCAGTGGGGCCGGCAGCCTGGCCTCTTTCTCTTCCTGTGCAGTCTCTAGGAAGGTGAGTTGAGCTTTTATCTGTCACTTTCTGGACCCTAGAAAGGGGAAAAGTAAGCAAGGTCCTTGGAGAACAGTCTTTTAAAAGAGAGTCAGAAGTTTCTTCAGTAAAATATTTGTTAATTTTAAGGACTATATAAGTACTTTAAGATAAAAGATCATTAACAGAAAATTTTAAAGTCACTGTACATCTTTTTCTGACATTTTATACAGGGGTGTGTTTCCTTCTGTAATGTTTTTCTCAATGTTTTCTCATATATAATTTGAAATTTGCATAAATGCTATATGTATGCAAATATATTTGTAGATCACAAAACATTTTTTCTGAAATGTAGTTTCTCATGATGAAACTACATCTCTATATCTCTACCACTCATTAAACAGTGTCCTCTGTCAGATAAAACTTGGGTTCTACAGGGTCAAGCCTCTAACCTGGACTACTCAGTCCCTACTTCTTCCTAGAAATGCAGATGAAACTGCTCAGGACTTTGGTCCTCGCTGAAACATGCAGGGGAGCCAGTGAGGCTGAACACAAGGTCTTACATGGAGGGTTTTGGATGTCACAATTCCTCCCATCAAGAACCTGCGAACTGCTGAGACTTGATGAGGAAAAGGCCCACCTCTGCTCTCTCCTGGAGTGTCTGTCTTTGCTTGGCAGTTACCCCACACAGTCGTTACTGTTAGGATGATTGACATCTTGTTCTTTCACTTTGTTTTAAATGATTGATGTTAATACTTATCTATGATGAATGGTACAGTGTGATAAGTTAGTCTGTGTATTCGGAGTGTCTGATCAAATTAGCAGAGTTGCACCTACCTCCCCCCCGCCCCAAGTCATTTTGAATTTCTTTGTGTACAACAGTCTTACAATTCTCTTCTAGTTCTTTGTGGAATAAATAAATTGCTAATAATTGCTAATTTTTTCCCTCCTTTTTACCTTTTAGCCCTTTCTTTGAAAAGTGAACCCATGAGCAGGTGCCATCAGATGAATGAAAAGGGAAGAAGGGAAGTCAGTTTACAAACCCTTTCCTTAGTGGCCAGTCTGGTGTCCAGGCTGCATGGGGAGGGAGGTGGTGACAGTGGAGGTGATAGACCAGACGGCAAGTCCACCGTGGTCAGCACACGATGCGCACTCATTGAGTGGCACTCGGGCAGCGAGGGTCCGAAGGGAAGCCGGGAAACTTAGAGGGTGGCTGTCTCAGGTTAGAGAAAGAGTCTCAGCAACTCAGGTTTTGATTCCATCTGCTGTCTGTCTAAGCAAAAATGTATTTTGAGTAATTGGGAAAAAAATGTCAGACCAGTTGGTCGAGGGGCCATTTTCATTCACAGTACATTCTCACAGTCTGGAGTCTATGGATGGGGGAGAGAGCAGGATTAATGGTGCTCATTTTTTTAGGAAGATACTAGAGGCATTTTTTGGTAGGAATTTTTTTTTTCTGTTTCGTTTTTTGGTCCTTTGTTCCTTATCCCTGCAGCACTCTTTTCTCTGTGGCTCTTTACCTGAATTTGGATATACCGTCTTGTTCACCAGTTTAAGACTTAACCACTCAAAAGACTACATACATAGGCAAGTCATTAGAAGAAGAATGATTTCACAAGAATCATGAAAACATCGAAGGATCTTGTAGAACCTAGAGGCAACTCACATTGTGAATGGAACTGTATGTTCAGCCTTTTCTGTTTGTTTTAGTCATGACCCTGCCTTGTGCCTGTTTTCACTTTTATCTAACTGCTGGTGTGTAGATGAACCTGAATTGTAGGTTCTGTTTGTGGCTCTTTCTTGCTGATGTGGTGGTTTGTGGTATAGATGGCTAATTGCAGAGCTCCCAACTGCTGCATCTCACCATCGTCACACTCTTGGCCAAAGAGTGTCCCTCAGAGCATGCAGGGAATAAGTAGGATTGATACAGTGGGTGATGCTCGCTCAGGGGGGTCTTTTCCTGTCTCGAATGTTCAGAGACACTTGTTGTGTTGTCATAACTGCCACTGGGTAATTCCTGATGCATTTGCTACACTTCTGCATTATTGGTGTTACTGTAGACAATATATTCACTGTATAAAAAATGAGAAAATCAGTCCAGAAATACATTAAAAATTTTCATCAAGCTTCACCATCCACAGGTAACTAATAATATTGTTTGTATATGTATATCTGTGTGTATATGTATGCTTATATACTTGTGTGTGTTTATGTATGTGTATGATCATGTTAGTATCTGTGTATGTGTGTGTGTTTGAGGGGTGAGGTTGTGTGTGAAGCTAGAGATCAACCTTGAGTTTTGTTCCTCAGGTGTTGTCTACCCTTTTCCTTTTTTCTCTTTTTTTTCTTCCTTTCCCTCCCTCCCTCCCTTCCTCCCTCCCTTCCTCCCTCCCTTCCTCCCTCCCCCCCTCCCTCCCCCCCCTCCCTCCCTCCCTCCCTCCCTCCCTCCTTCCCTCCCCAGAGCTATTAGTGTGAGTCTGGCTTTCTCACATGAGTTCTAGGGAATCGAACTCAAGTCCTCATGCTTGTGTGGGAAGCACTTCACTGACAGGGTATCTCCCAGTCTGCAGTCTATGTTTTGAAGATTTATTTATTATGTTTACGGTATTCTGTCTGCATGTATGCCTGCACACCAGAAGAGGGCATCAGATCTCATTACAGATGGTTTTAAGCTGCCATATGGTTGCTGGAAATTGAATTCAGGACCTCTGGAAGAAGCTTTTAAACTCTGAGTTATCTTGCCAACCCCAAAATCTATTTTTTAAACTAATTCTTTTTGTTTATGTCCTCATGGTTGCATGGCAAACACCTTACCAGTTAGACTATCTCCTGACCCCAATACTCTGTTTTATTTTTTAATTCTTTTTGCCTTATGTTGAGTTTGTCTGTGATATTAATGCATTAAGTTTTGCTAAGACATTTATGTGTAGGTGTTTTTCCCAAAAAAATCTTTTAAAGTCATATAAAAATTTATACATTTGACAGATATTTAGATTGTATGGTAAAAGTTTTGGTATGAAAGCATATGTTTTTGTTTGTTCACCATTCCTTAATTACTGAGTATATTTCAAATGAGTTTTCCCAATAATTGGAATAAGATATTACAGAAAATATAGAAAATTCAAGGATGATAAGTATTAGCTGGGAGTGGCGACTGAAGTCAGGAAGGCTGTGAGCCAATCTATGCCACATTAGAAAGTTCTATGCCAACCTGGGCTACATAGCAAGAGTAAATATTAGGAAATAAAAGAATATCCTAAAACACCATTGTAAAGCTGGTAAAGCTGCTACCTTCTGTTCATAGAGATAGGAAGTTCTCTTTGCCTCTTCCACCCATGTGTTCTACAGGCTGTACTTTTTCGGAGTTTACCTCCTGCCTTTTGAAACAGAGTCTTGGTGCGATTCTGTGCCTTCTCTTGTTATTTAGTCCCATGATTCCCTCTTGAGGCATGCGTTGTCAGAACCCATGGTAATGAGTTGAGTACTCATTCTGCTGTGAGTACTAGGTCTCTGTCACTGCTGTTTACATCATGAGTCCGTGAGCAATGGACAGCTTTGTTCTTTGTTTTGGGGTCTCTATTTGTAATCTAAGTGTTACGGCCTGTAGGAAAGTAAACTCTTGAATTTCATGTATTTGGATTAATTAGAAAGCTTCGGTTTAGCCAAACCGAAGTGACAAAGTATATCTTTCTCAAAATATTTGAAGCCATGGGTGTTTTATATATTGGATTTAAAAAAAATTGGCATATATGTATATTCTCTATCTATCTATCTATCTATCTATCTATCTATCTATCTATCTCTGATGAGAAGAGAAGACCCTGTCTGTGTGAGTGCCTGTGTGTGTGTTGCTAGGAATTGAGCCCACAGTACCACCACACACCAAGTCCAGTTTTGGACTTTGGTGCATTTTGGACCTCACATTTTCGGATACACTCAGCATGTATTGTGAAATAAACCTACTTTTGTCTCTCTATGCTCTTCTACTCATCAGCGTTTAGTATTGAATCAGTGTTTTCTTAGATATAAGTGCCAGGCTTCCTCCTCGGTTGTCCTAGCAGCTGGTTTTGTTGAAGCTCTTTGAAGAGCAGAGTCATGATGGTTCTGCTGCTGAAATCTTAAAATAGATCCCAATCAGCAGTTTCTACTTTGGAGGACTTCTTTTAACTGGGGAAACTCTTAAGCCTGGTCTAGAAAGAATATACTGTTCCCTCTCTATTGTACATGACTGGTACCAGAATTTTACTGGTGACTGTGCCTGTCTGAAATGACAGTGAGAGTCACATGGATGGTATAGCCTTCTAGGAATAGTCACGGGGCCCTGTGATGAGAGGAGATTAGTGAAAGGATAGGATCAAGCCACATGTAAGGTTAATGTAGCTTGACATTTCGTATCCTTTAAATCCTGCATTCATAATCTCATATTTGCTGTGCCATTTGAATTTCTTTTGAAATTAAAGAATACTAGGCCAATTTTGGACTTTGCATTTATATTTGATTTTTTCTAAAATTGCCAATTAAAATAGTGATTTGATCTTTTTTCTGTCTTATTAAATTGTTGGTTTAATGTTAGTGATCTTGTATTCACCACAGAGCTGTTCAGTATTTTGTTTTTAAAAAGATCTGAACTTTAAAACAAACCTTAATTTACATGTATAAAAGCATTTACTTAAGTATTCTGGGCCCTCTGCCCCTAAATGTGACACACTTCTTTCACCCATACAA